TTCTGGCTAATGAGGCCCCTTTGTGTTGGTTCCTGTTAGTACTTAATAGCTTCTTTCTAACCCAACAAGTTCCAGGGAGAAATGTTCAATGACAGGGTAGTGACATTAAGAATAATATTTGTTGAAATTTTGATAAAAAAGCAACCAGGCAAATAAACCTTTATTCATTACTTTTAAAAAGATTAATGATGAAATATGCCAAACCACTAATTTTATTTTCTGAGTAACACAATTATAGGAAAATATTATTAATTTACTCCTTTGTACTCTTCTGTACCTGATTATCCATGAGTTTTACTTTTGTAAGAGTGAAATTAAGTTAAAACTTTAACAGCCTCACCAGAAGATTTTCAAATTCTTTTAATTTAACAAGTTCCTGTAGCACATTTGAAATAAGATCCAAATTATTTTAGAGAGTGCAAAGACACATATTTTTCAGAATTCTAACTAATTATACAATTTTTAGCTATATCCCTTGTTCCCAAAGAGCTTGTAATGTAAAGAGAGAGGAAAAGTGATTTTTAAAAAATCAGCTTTGAACAATACCTAGGCTACAGAATTATAACAGGGGCCTGTCTCTCCTAACTATTTTTATAGACATTTGGAACTCCCCCCCTTAACAACAATGTAGAAGTTACTCTTTAGGTATATTTTTAAGTATATTTTTTAGATAGGTAACAACTTCTACTAAGATCTCTAGATCTGTGAGAATTCTTTCTACTACCCTTAATTGTATATGTCAAAAGGATCCTAACAAATGAACAAGAACAACAACAAAATAATCTATTTCTTAATATACATAGAAGAGGAAATGCAAATCAATATCCATAATTATAGAAGGTGATCATTTAGATGTGGCCTTGACAAGGGTTGCTTTTACTTGATCTTTACTGTTTACATGGGATTTCACATAGTTAACCCCAGAATGAAATTATCTACTCTTCTCAAATGAATCATACAGTATAAAACAGTAGTCCTGTTTCTTTTTAATGAGGTTATACTTATCATGATTAATAGTGAAGGAACTATAAAAAGGCAGCTAGCTGTATAAGAGTTGTATGTGTATGTGTGTTTTAAATTCCTTCCTCTCCAGTAGACAAGATTCTACATCCTCTTTCTAACAACACCTTGCCACAAATCTTCCCTCTTAGCAAAACCAGACCTAAATGATCTTACCTGTCTTAGGCAGTCTTCTGGGAATTTGAGACATCCTACACTTCTGGGATAGATCATTTAAGATTTCTGCCATTTCCTACTCAAAAACAGTTCCCTCTTCTCTATTACATTAGAAATGTTTGCCATTGATAATTTCTGTATATTAATATAACTTAAAATTCTAGAATTATTAACATCATGTTTGTAGAACTATAGATTCTACAGGGCAGCAGCAGGATACTCAGTTTTTTAACTGCAGCAGTTTAATAACGATCTCTTTAATACGTGCTTAGTCCACGTGTAGCTCAGCACGTGGGAAGATTAAATCTAAACAACCAAAGAGGATTAACTTGGTCATCATTTTTAAAATCTTCAGAATAAATGTGCATTCCAGTGGAGATCAAGCCCAGAGCCTGTGCATGCTACTGAGCTACATCCCCAGTCCTTGTTTTCTTTGAGACAAGTTCTTTCTATGTAGTTTAGGTGACCTGGAACTTTCCATTCCTGGCCTCAGCCTCCTGAGTGCTGGAATTGCAGGTGTGTGCCTCTATAACTCGTCTAAACTGAGAATATTTCACAAAGAATTTTGAATAGCAGTATTATTTTCATCTGAGCTGGTTGTCAGCTTTCACTTGTGCCAAGAAGAGGAAGAGATGGCAAGGGACAGCAGGGAAGGAGCCCTAGATGAGACTTGTTGAAAAGATAATCATTTCTTCAACACAGAACAAAACCTCTCACGTGGCACAAGTGACTCAATGACTCTCTGGCACACGGAGCCCTGGGCCTGTCTGGGATCTAAATTTGCATGACTTAAAGTGTGTCCTCTATTATAGTAGGAAAATTAATGGCTCCGTTCTTTGTGAGCTAAATTTCTTTGTCAGTGGTGGTCCATTAGACCAAACAGACAAATATCTCAGACTGTTCTGAGAACTCATTGACTTTCTTGGATGCAAATTTACTTGAACAGACTTGCTGGTTTGTAAGAACTGTGCATAAATGCTGAATGTTAGCTCTTTTTGGCTAATTTGTAAGCTCTGCCAGGATGGGGACTGGGTACAATGCTGGTGGGTTGCCTCAGTACCAGAACTTGACACATACTCATGTAGCCAGCGAAAGATTGTGTGTTATCTTCCTATTGTTTCCATCTTGGTATGAAGCACAATAGTAGGCAATTAAAGAGATGTGTATGTAGTAATTCAAATTCTTTGAGAGGTATCAAAAGTTCAAGTTTGATTTACATATTCATCTTCTCATTGCCTGTCCTGGAAATATAGGTTGTAAATATTGATGGCAGGTGAGGCACACACTGCAGGTGAAAAATTGTACTGCCTTCCCACAGTCTAAGTTTTTAACAAGACCCTTGCACTTGAAATTACTAGGAGTGAAAACATGGGGAGTACATTTTCTCAGTTATTGAACATCAGAAAGATGCTTATAGAACAAGGTAAAAACACTTTCTGTCTCCTTGAAGCATTATTTCTATAGCATTTTTCGATATTGTTTCTCAATACTGTAAATCATTTAATCTCATCCTCTTGAGTCTGAGGGCTGTCAAGAAAAAAAAATGACTTTTTAGGATAAACCTTCTGAAGTGTAGATTTTTACTTATTTGGGCCCTCTCTCTTTCAAAAGAAGTAATTTAAGGAGCTGTCTCAAAATAATTTTAGAGGCAGCAAGCAATTTTGAATGGCTGGACTTTATTCATTTGAATTTATCTGCTTTGGGATAAGAGTCAAGAAAAAGGGTCTAGAGAGCTGAGGCAGTGTGGACATCTGTCGAGGGCAGTAAGCCATGAAGTAGCCGAGAAGTAACAGCTCAGAAAGGGCCTCACCACTCTAATACAGGGCCAGAATTCCTTGAGGTGCCCAGAAAAGACTGAGCACATTTAAAGGACCAGCACAGACAGAAGTTTGAGCCACACACTAAACACCATTCACTATCAGAAACAGAACCATAAAATCTTGATGAATATTAATGTTCTCCAAAATAAAAAAAAGGCAATAAGACAAATAAATCAGTTTGTTAGTGCCAAGTTCATGTTGTTCCAGGAATTGGACTACTTCATAATAAAAAAATGAAATAAAAGCCAAAATGAAGCAATTGCAGTTCTTTTTTTAGATGAATTCTAGGGATAATTCAGGCAATTTGTACATTTTATTCAGGTCTAGTTCTGTTTCTTCCCTTAACTACAGAGTCCTAAGGTACCCTTTGATAGATGGCAAATTATTTTAGTTCCCTTAATATTCATGAAAATTTAATAGTCCTAGGATTATTAGTGCTATATGTCTTTATTCATTTTCTTGCCTAATTAATAACTTTATAACTCTGGCATCAAAATACTTTCATATATTAAAGATGTATTTAGTAAGAAAAATTTACCACTAACTGATCACTTTGAGTAGACATACTTTTCAGTAACACTCATTTGGCTCTCAATTCCTATACAGTTCTCCTCATTGAAGTTTAAATGAACTAACTAAGCATCATAAATACTTTAATGAATGTGGAAAATACTCATAGTTAGCAGTATGAAGATGCTGTTTGCTAAATAAGCATTTAGACAGTCACTTCATATCGTGTATATTAACTTAAAATAATGACCCTGATAATGATAACCTGAAACTTGAAAGCTAGAGGAATGTTTCTAATTTGAATATCATATTCATTTTATCAGCATATCACACAGCAGTATACCTGATGTATTTTTGGTTGGATGTATATGATAAAAATACGATCACTTCTTTCTACTTATTTGAACTTCTAAAGCCAAAGATCTTACCTAAAAATTCTATTAACCAGTTGATGGGCCTAGTGATCAAAAACTGGCTATGGTCAGGAATATTCAAGTGACTTTATTTTCATGACATAAATAAATCTGTAGAGTACACACTAGTGATCTTAAATTTTTCCGGTGTATTTTTCTTTACTAACCCCACCCAAAAATCTGTAGACAGATATGACCCCAAATTGCACTATTAAATTATTCAAACACAGATGTTTGGGTTTGCACAAGATAATGTTCCAGAAATATTTGTGAACAGAAGGAAATCCAATAGGTCCCAGTCAAGGAGAGAGACAGATTTGAGTCCCTTTGCTCCAACATTTGTACATGGCCAATTTCAAGTAAAAAGACCACTCTGGAGTAAAACATGCAATTCAAAAAAGAAAGAAAAGAAGGAAGGAAGAAGAAAGAAAGCAGCTTATAAGGCTTTTGCCTTTAATATGTTGCATAAAACAGTTGGTGCCAGGCACCAGTGGGTCATGCCTGTAATCCTAGCTACTCAGAAGGTGGAGACCAGGAGGATCGTGGATCGAAGCCAGCTCAGGCAGGCAAATAGTTCATAAGACCCTATCTCGAAAAACTCTTCACAAAAAAATAGGGCTGGTAGAGTGGCCCAAATTGAAGGCCCTGGGTTCAAACCCCAGTACTGCAAAAAAAAAAAAAAAAAAAAAAGTTGGTATTTTCCTTGTTAATGAATGGCAAGCCAGGTGCTAGTAGCTCAGGCCTGTAATCCTAGCTACTCAGGAGGCAGCAATCAGGAGGATTGTGGCTGGAAGCCCCTTGATCCTGGCAGAGTGGCTCAAGTGGTAGAGCACCTACCTAGCAAATATGGGGCCCTGAGTCAAACTCCAGTGCTGCAAGCAAACAAAGAAACAAAAAAAGAATGCCCAAAATTTGGAAAAATAAAAGGAAAGTCATCAAAAGAAGGTCATCCACAGCATTTTACCTGGACCTCCTAAGTAGAGTACGAGTGTGAACACACACCTGGCACACTGCATAGCTTCTCTTTACCATCATTGATATCCTCCTCATCATTAAATGCTCATTGATTCCTGTCTCCTAGATGACACAGGCTGTCCTAGTAGCCAGTCTGTATCTCCTGTGAAGACACCCTCAGATACTGGAAACAGCCCCATTGGCTTTTGTCCTGGAAGCGATGAAGACTTTACCAAAAAGAAATGCAAAACTGCAATGGTTGGAGAGGGAAGCATCCAATCAACTCGATATAAGAAGGAATCAAAGGCAGGCCTTGTAAAGCCAGGTAAGTGTGCTTATTACTCTTCATGTTTTTATCCGAACAAAATGATTGGAGAGATTTTCCACTGGAACCAGAACGCCTACCTATCATGTCAGGAATCACCACTCCTGCACCCAATTTGGAAATAGAATATTTTCTGTAGTTGTTGTAAGTATAGTGAGGTGTGTATCCATTATTTTTTTCATTATTTAGAGAATACTTTATTAGTTTCTGTAATCAAACCCACACAGATAAGACCTTACATATTTAATTAAGAGGTTTTTCTTAACAGAAAGGAACCAAGTTGAACTAATGTAAGTTAGTTACACTAACTTAAATTATAAAATAAAGACATTACTTGATGCCATCTAAAGTGACCACAAATTGTGAAGAGAACAATTTATCTTGATGCAAATCTATAGAGCTGGGAATACTTGCTGACTTAGCTGTTTTCTTTAAGAATTTAAACATAAATGTTACATGTGTATATGCAAACAGATGTTCAATAATTACAAGAATATTAGATGGCATAAGATAAAACTAATTATTGCAATGAATGAAAAGTCATGACCATCGGAAAAGGTCAATATGTACATAAATATCTTGTATCTCAGAAATATAAACAAATATAGTTTTAGTGAACACTAAAGGGCCCAAACATTAGCATTTGGAGAGCACTTCTGTACTGCACTTTTGTTTAATATCTACAGTTATGCTATACACAGATGTGAGTTTGAAAAGACAAATTGATAGCTTTCACAAGTTCTTACTCCACATTTGTCTGCTAATTCTTGTTTGATGACCCAATTGTGAAAGGGACTATATATATATATATATAGATAGATAGATAGATAGATAGATAGATAGATGATTTTATTTTAATGTGGCCAAGGCTTGATCCTATGTCCTCTTCCACTAGCATCTTGTCTGGTTTTGGGCTTTCTTGAGTCATTGATACACATAGAATATCATTAGGATTATTCTTTATCTTGCTTTTGGCCAACCAAAGAGAATATCATTTCATTTCACAGCAAAACTTAAACTATATGAAACACGAGTCGTTAATAAGTCCTTTGCTTTGCCATAATATGAAAAGGAAAGGACATGATAGACAATGGGGGAGTGAAGATGGCATATGGAAGAGGGAAATACTGATCTTATGGAGTTGTGGGTACCCTTAATACTTAAGAAAGAGACAGTGAACTAAAGAACGTCGTGTAATTAGAGCCAAGGAATAAAATTGTTATCTTGTGTATTCAAGGACTAGGATCTCTCTCTCTCTCTCTCGCTCTTTTTTCTCTCTCTCTTTCTCTCTCTCCTTTCTCTCTCTCTTTTCTCTCCTCTCCTCTTCTCCCTTTCTCTCTCCCTTCCTCTTTCCCTCTCCTGAAACTCAACTGTGAAATTGAGATATAATTTTTAAAAATGAGATAGAGTTCATGTATCATAAAATTCACTCATTTAGGGTGATTCAGTGGGTTAGTCTATTCCAATTGTTCTGAAAATATCACCATTATCCAGCTCCCATTTAGCTTCCAATTGAAACCTCATATCCATTAACAACATACCCCATACTCCTTTTGCTCCAGTCTCCAGCAACTGATAACCTGTCTCTGTAGATTTGCCCATTCTGGACATTTCATATAAATGGAATCACATAGCATTTGTGTTTGCCTTCTATCACCTATAATAATGTTTTTGAGGCTCACCAGAATACATGTTCCAGTAGTTTATTGCATTTTATGGCTGAATAATATTACATTGTATGGATTTTCCATATTTTTTAAATGCCCTTTTAAAAAACCAATTTTAAGATTAACAAAAAATTGAGGGGAGAGTATTGAAAGTTCTCAAAGTCCTTCTTAATATCACTACTTACAGTTTCCCCTGTTACTAAAATCTTGCCTTATTAGTGTGGTGATTTACCACATTTTATTTATCCATTCATGAGTTGGTAGACATTTGGGTTGTTTCTACTTTTTTACCTATGAGCTTTGTATCCAAGTTTTTTTATTATTTATTTTTATTAGAATATTATTGTACTGGGGGGGTACATTGTGACAAATACAAAAGTGTTTGCAGTGTATCTTAGTAAGATTTATACCTTCTGTCATTCTTCTTTATTCCTCCTACACCCCCTCCTTCTTAGAATAGTTTCAACAGGTCTCATTGTTCCATTTTCATACATAAACATGTAATATTTCCACCATATTCACCCTCCTTCACCCTTTTCTTATGTTCTCCCCCTCCCACTTTTACCAACCCAAATAGAACCTGTTTCACCTTCTTGTCCTTTATTTTTGGAAAAAGATATTTTAGTTGTTTAAGATAGCTACACAGAGAGTTTCAGTATAACATTTCCAAGTATATATGTATTATATTCCAAATTGGTTCATGCCCTCCATTTTTTTCCTTTCTACCTTAGTCCCCTTATGGTGATTTCAACATGTTTAGATATTCTGTATTAATTCTTGTATAGAGAGTACATCAACCATATTCACCTTTTGTACTTCCTAATTTTACTCTCTCCCTCCCCTCAGTGTGGCATATTTTTCATTTTTGTCCTTCGTTATTTAGGTGTCTGTTACTTGCTCAGTGGGATTTTTGCCTTGGTATAATACCTGTACAAGCACTGTGTTTAAGTCAATATAACCCCCATCCTCTAAACTTCCTCATCCTTACCCTCCATCCTGAGTTGCTTTAACAGTTTTCAGTGTGTTTCATTGTATCTTGTTCCTACACAGATGTAATGTATTTCACTGTTTGCTATCTTTGTTTCCTTCTTTTCCTCCTCCTTTGGTCTCCTCTGCCAGTTCTACTTTTGGATATATGTTCTGTATATATTTGCATGTATATATAATATTTCTTATATTTGTAATGGGCCTATATTCCACATATGAGAGAAAACATGTGGCCTTTGGCTTCTGAACCTGACTAACTTCACTTAAGGTGATGCTCTTCAATTCTGTTCATTTACCTGCAAATGACAAAATTTCATTCTTCTTTGTGGATGAATAAGACTCCATTGTATGTAAGTGCCACATTTTCTTAATTTATTCATCAGTTGTGCGGCATTTTGGCTATATCCATAGCTTAGCTACTGTGAATAATGCTGCAATAAACATGGTTGAACAGGTTCTTTATAACCTGACTTACATTCTTTTAATGTGTACAAGTTTTTGTGTAAACATGTTTTCAATCCTTTTGGGTACCTACTTGGGGACAAAATCCCTGCATCACAGGTTACAGTATGTAGCTGTTTGAGGAGCTGTCACTGTTTCCCACAGTGGCTGAGCTATCTTACATTCCCACCAGCAATCCTGCTTAACACTTCTCAGTATCTCTCTCATTATATCCTTTGCCTTAGTCTGTTTGTGTTACTATAACAGAATACCTGAGAATGGGTAATGTGAAGGGGAAGAAACTTATTTCTTACAGTTTGGGTGGCTAGAAAATTCAAATGGCAGATGGCTGCATCTGTCAAAGGCCTCTGGTTGCTTCATAAAGTGGATAGGTCATCACATGTGAGAGGATGAAATGTGCCAGCCAAGTTCTTTCTCTTCTTCTAAAGCCATTGATCCCATCATGGGGTTTTGTACATACATCCCATAAAAGGAATGCCCATATGTACTAAATAACACATTCTACTTCAGCAACTTCACAGAGCTCCTTTATTAAGATTTATGAATCTCCCTGGTGTAGTTCTGCACACCTGTAATTGCATGTTTGAGGCCAACCTAAGCTACATAGTGAGTTATAGGTTTGCCTCCACTACACATGTATGACTCTATCTCAAAAAAAAAGTCCAACAACAAAAGATTTGTAAATTCTAGTTTAATGACCCTGGCCCAAAGACAGAGCCTAACCTTTTGTCAACTGCTCCTGATTTAATTGCACACAGGCCTACATATCACCTAAGCAGTCTTCACCTCACCTTTTTATTTACTTGTACTGAACCAAGGTAAAGGGATCCTTAACATTTCTTAGTAGCCTAAAGTCCCTGACATCATTGTGGAAAAGGTCAGTACAGCTTTTCAAAGGAGCCCAATTTTGTATAGTAAGCTCTTTGTACTTGAGAAGTATCTGCACTGTGACCTACAGTTCTCTGAACTTTTGGCTGAATAAACCTGTCAGTCTCATAAATATGAGGAGAGGAAATCCTGGAAGTGAAGCCCCTACATGACTCTAAAATTTATAAAATGCATAGATGCCATCTGTTAAAGCACAAAAAGGTACTGCTCTCAAGTTAAAATGGTCTGCCTTCTCCATGGCCCCAAGTGACCCTCTCCCATCATCCAAAGCTGGTCTTCAGCTCTTGATGTGTGTTCTATTTTTTTTAAACAAATAGACTCATTAATACCAATTTATTAAAATAGCAAGCAATTAGTGGTTCTTACACAGGTGCCCAGGGGCTCCTTATCATGAAGTAACTAAAGCCTGTTTAATTTTAGGTCTGTTGCTCTAGATTCTGGAACACTGCCGTTCACCTCAGAAAGGAATTATTGAAACGCCCCTGGGGTCAGTAAGATAAAGGGCTAATGATGTTCATGGAGCCTGTGATGCAGAAGGAGAAAGGAAATATGTCACAGGATGCTGGGAAGGACTTGGAAAGGCGAGCAGAGCAATGAGCAAGTCAGTGCCTTGCCAACAGAGCCCCGTGGCACACCCAGCAGGAAAGTCCTTCCTGCCAGGCCAGGAATTCTTCTGGGAACTTCTCAGAAGCAGTGAGCCTTCTGTCATTTTGGCTTCTGTCACTTCATACCTACACAATTTAATTAAAAATAGCCAATGAAGAGCAAAGGAGAAACACCATTAGAAGTGATTAAGGAGATAAGTAAGGAGCAAATGGTTAGGGTCACTATAACTTAGAAGAAATTCACTTTTAGAGGCTGAAATGTTGAAATCTGCATTGAAAGATGTCATTTTATCTCCTTAGCACTCAAACCAAGTTAGTATCCCCTTGTTATCAGACACCAAACAGGCAACTGAAACTGGAGACCTGACCAAGCTGAACTATAATAACCTCA